TATATTTTCAAAAAGAAAAAAGCTTTTCGAAAAGAATAAAAATTTAGAAATGGTTTTTAAAGAGAAAGTTTTTAGAAAACAGATTTCAAAGCACCAAAGATTATCCAAAGAACAATTTTCGTAAAAATGAAAAAATGTTCGGAAAACAGAGATTTTCGAAAAAAAGAAAAAAACGAAATACGTTCCAAAGAAAATTTTTTCATTAAAGTATATGTTCGAATAAAATATATTCGATAACAAATTGCTCGAGAAAAAAAAATTAAACACTTTCGAAAGAAAAAGATTTTTGTTAAAAAGATGTTCGAACACAAGATATTTAAAAATTTTGATAGCAAATAGCTCGAGGATAATAGGAATGAATAGATAGATAAAACTGAAAAAAGTACTTTTAAAGCAAAGTTTCCGATAAAAATTGATTTAGAAGTAAACATTTTCGAATAGAAAAGATTATCGAAACATTATGATTTTCGAAAAAACAACTTGCGAGAAAAGGATTTTCAAGGTCCGAAGATTTTCGAGAAAATTATTTTCGAAGTTCGAAGATTTTCGAAAATAAAAATTTCCGGGCACACCATTTTCGTAAAAAATTCTGGAAACGAATAGTTCAAAGTGTTTTATTAGTTATGGTTGGCAAAGCAATCAATTATGGTAGTAGGCATTTAGAATGAAATTTCAGTACAAAACAAGTGAATTACACCCAAGATATACAGCGGGCCATTCACAGAGTTATCCCTGCAAAGAAACTTTATTTAAAGCAAGGTACCGAGAAAAACAGTATGCGAAGATGGTAAGATAATTTTAAAAGCTTTGTGAAAAATGTATACATATTTTTTACAGATGGCTGAGTCCCAGAAAGATTGGGATACATATGCAAACATACGTAATAATATACGAAATATACTCTACACGAAACTTCAAATATGTTACCAAAAACTGAAAATTTATGACACGCAGTGGAATGGCAACACTACCAACATTTTGCGAATGTGCTCCCCTGCCGCTTGGCCACAATCGCATTGTGCAATTTCGCAATTTTTTATAGTGTGAGCGCGCGTCATAAACTACGAAAACGTTGCATTTAAGCATAAAAATATGAGCTGCGCGAAATCATTGCAACCGAATGAGTTCTGCACCACAATACATACAAAATTGTGTACATACACACATATATACATAACAAAATACATACATACATATGTATGTATGTGTGTAGATGGGGCACAGTCATATTATTGTTATCCCCGTTCGCTTGTCAACCAGTCCAGCAGAGCAGTCATCAGCGACAAGTGCATTTTATGGCCTATTTTTTTATAAGCGCCTTCACCTCCTCTTCCTTACCCGCCCCCAATGCCTCGCAAGCCACTTTGAGCTTAAACTGGCAACACTCAACCCAGCACCGGCTGGTTTTTCTGGGGCAACTCTGACGTCAGAGTAATAGTCGCAATAATGCAGCATCCTGCCGCGCTTCCTCTTCGTCAACCCCGCAGCACACACACTGACACATTTGCATATATGCAGGCTTTGCCCGTTTCGCCATTACCACTTTAGTGCCGCTCAAATGGGGAAATAAAGTAATTTTGGAAAATGGAGCAGCAGCTAAACAAAAATAACAACAAAGCAACAACAACAAATTATGAATTGTTTGTTGCAACTGGCAACTGTGTCGCGCGCCACTATGAAGTGCATGTGGCAGGAAGTTGACTGTTGCCAGTCTATTTTAGCGGTTGCAAGCCAGGCACACAGCCATACACACACCCACCCAGACGCACTTATGTATATAAATGTACTTACATTCATACTCATACAGGCAGTGGCGGCTGAAGTGCTTGAAAGTGCACTTAGCGCCATCTGCCACACTTTGCAGCAACACCAACTCCATTGTCGTTCCGAGACTAGTTACTTTTTTTATTTTTAGAATGTGCGCTTATGGCGCGGATATGATGTCCGGAAGTCGTTGACTTTATTAGGCGAACTTTTCTTGCAAAGTTTTCTTTGTGTCCTGGGATGTGTGTATGTATGTTGCCACCAACTTTAATGCCGGCTTTAGTAAAATATATGACAATTAATTGTTGATACGTGCATCCTTGGTGTCGTAATAAGGATTAATGCAATAGTATTGTCTCCCTTTTTCGGTTGGTAATTTATTTTGACGTTTTTATGGGGAAACTAAACTTTTGAAAAATTGTTATTCATTTGTGTCTTTTTTAGGATTATGAGGCTATAATATATCAAAAATGTCTAAAAATTTTAAATTAATTGTTGAATTCATTTTTAAAATTTAAGGATAAGTGCCTTGCGATGATTACATTATTATTACTAAGATTGCTTTTACCCATAAATAGCAACAACGTAACTTTGTGATATGCAGTGTGCTGTTATTGTTCCAAGAACTGAGGTTTATTGCTTCAAGCAACCCTTGAAAGAGCAGAATGTTCGGGGGAGCGGACCAACTTCTTTGTCTTTTCATTTTCTTCTAGAGTCTAATTATTGCCTGCTTGCAGTAAGGCATAGTATTGCGCTACGAATAACCCTAATTGACAGTTGGCTGATCAATAGAAGGTTAATGGACTTGCTGGTTAGAGCAGAAGCCTACTTATACCTTCTGCTATGCCAAAAATTTCGGCCTTAAGAAATGCGTATGGATTACTACTGAAGAAGGCCGTTCATGTGATTATTTCAGCTTCTAATATGTAGATGTCGTCGTTGAAACTGTCGATCACAGAACCATTATTCTATTCTTCTCTACTGGAAAATGAAAATATTGCATTGAATTCCTTTCAGATCTCTTTTCCACTGCTAACCACGGAGTTTGGTTGCAATAATCTTCAATCATAAGCCGACTGACCGAAAGCATTTCATCATATTGTCCGGATATCGAGGATATTTTCCAGAGCTAATTTGAAAACCACCAATTATGAAATAATAGAAAAGAAATTTAACTTTGGCTGCACCAAAGCTACCAGGTATTAAGTGAAGGTTTTGTTTTTGTTTTTTTTTTTAATGATATACTAATTTTGATTTGGAAAGTAAAGAAAAATACTCAAATTATTGACCATTGGCTTCCTGGCAAGTTGTGAATACCATGCTAATAGAAATGTTGTCTTTTGAAGCAAACCAATCGAAATCGAAGTAGGAATCGAAATGTTGGTCAGCCAATGCGTGTCCTGTAGACGAAAACAAATGGTAATCGGAAGAGGCCAAGTCTGGTGAGTGGCGATGCGGTAGAGCTCTCAGCTAAATACTTTGGTTATGTCCTGAACCCATTTTGCGTTGTATGCAGGTGCATTGTCGTGTAACAAAATTTCTTTCCCATGTCTTTTGACACGCTCTGATCATTTTTAGATCAATTCTGGGTTCAAATTGATCAGTTGTTTTTTGTAGCAATTAGTATTAACGGTTTCAACAAGTCTAAGAAGCTCATGATATACCACTCTCTACTGATCTAAAGAGCATTTGCCTTCTTGGCGAATCGATTTGCTTTTGCAGTCGATGTTGATGACTGTCCTAGATTATCCTATGATTTTCTCTGTTCAGTATTCTTAAAATTAGTAAATTTTTCATCGCCAGTGACAATTCGATGCAAAACTGTTTTTCTTTCGTGTCTTTGCCACAAAACATCACTTGTGTTTTTTCGGTTTTCCATTTGTCTTTTATTCAACTCATGTGGCAAATATTTTCCACACTTTTGGATCTTTCCCATAGCTTTCAAACGGTCAGAAACTGTTTGCTGTGCAATATTGAACATGACTACCATTCGCTTTTGACTCAATGTTTAATCTTCATCGAATATTGCTTACAATTCGGTGTCTTCAAACTTCTTTGGAGGTCTTCCACGTTTTTCATTTCTTACATCAAAATAATTAGCTCTGAACCGTTGAAACCATCTACTGCATGTTGCTTTTAAAATGACATCATCACAATATGCCTTGCAGCACTTTTCTTCAAATGAAAACATTAAATTAATGCTTTCCGTAAATCATCACATTTTTGTAAAAAAAAATTGGCAATAAAAACTTTCCGAAAAGAAAAAAAAAATGGAAATAAGATTTTTGAACACAAAGTTCTTCGAAAAAAAATAATTTTTAGAAAAAAAAGAATTTCGAAAAGGAGATATTATCGAAAAAAAAGATGTTCGAAATTTGAATTAAAAAATTTTCGAAAAAACGATTTTCGAAAAAAACTCTGCAAACGAATAACTCGAGGCGTTTTATCGGATATAGTTGTAATTAATTAGTAGGCAATTAGAATGAGATTTCAAAAAAAAAAAAAAAAAAAAAAAAAAAAAAAAAAMAAAAAAAAAAAAAAAAAAAAAAAAAAACAAGTGAATAGCACCCAAGATATACAGCGGGTCACTAATAAGGTTATTCATATTTAGAAATTATATTTAAAGCAAAATAACGAGAAAATTAGTGTTACAAGGTTGAAAGCTGATTTTAAAAGGTTTACAAAAAATTAATACATATTTTCTGATTCCCAGAAAGATTGGGATTAACAACACAAAAAGATGTAATGTTGTTTGTTCAATGACTGTATGGTTATCGAATATGCTTCAAGATGTCATGCCAACCTAAACAAAAAAAATTAAGTCTCGCTTACAACAAATGTACAAATGTTTTCCACCATCAAATTTGTATCCTAACGCTCACTTCACACCGGTACACCTGGTATAATAGCCCACACAGCTGGATTTCTTATAGCACAAAAGGATTTATCTTAATTTTAGTTGGTCAGTTTGAATGGCAATTATATTATTTTATAGTCGGACATGGGCGATTGTGATAAATGAGCCACGAGTAAAGAGCGTGTGAACAATTTCAGATTGATACTCAAAAACCTGAGGGACCAGTTTGCGTATAGATAGACAAAGTGAAACCACTCCAACCACTTTTCGTACATACTATTGTACAATGCAATAAATAGCACAGTATTTTCTTGCTACAAAACTATTTTCAACTTAACTTGACAACCGTCAGCCTTATCGAACAATTAATACAACTTACCTTCGTCTCTGACATTTCCCATCAATATGTCATAGCCACGTAGATCGGCTGTCTCCATCATTTTCATGGGGTGATCTGGCAAAAATGCGCCATCAATGGTCGGCGCAGATGGAAAACTTAAAATGCCCGAGTAGGAGTTCCATTGCTGCACCGAAATCGTTTTGGCGTCGACGGCGCGCATGCAAGCCATCACAGCTTGTGGATTTTCCTGCAGAGAATATATGAACAAAGTAATTATTTAAACTGACTATAAATTTAAATGGAATTTCGAAAACTAGCTTTCAATTTTTAATAAATTCGGACATACTATTCAACCATAAAGTTAAGAAATTACCACCAAAATTAGACGTTTTTAATTAGCTTCTATTGCGTGTGACATTTTCTTTTTCCAGTAACTTGATTCCCGGCATATTCCTTGAATGAATTTGGCTCGCTTATATCAGCACTTTTACTACTAAATTTTTTATAATTTATTCAAATGGGCATCTGTTCTTGCCTTAGTTGACAGCAATAAAAACCTATAGATTCTTAAAAACTAGAACTAACTACCTAAAGCCGACAAACTACTCATATCTTATCTAGGCAGAATCGTGTATAGCGATTTTCCACTCTAAATCTATCTTTAAGGTTTTTTGGTGCAAAATTTTCTTTTTAACTCAATAATTCTGCTTAAATCCACCAAATCTCATAAAAACAGAGTTCTTTAATCAAATTTGAAACTGAAATATTTTCCCCAAACTCACCGACAACAGCGACGCATTGCAATTGCAGTCGTTTATTAACGCCTTGCCAATCTCTACAGCCTTCTCTGACGTCATATGACTCCAGGGCGCATTCATTGTGCCCGATTGCATCATGCCGCGCTTGACCAAACCCGCCGTCACTGGCGACACAAGTTGCGCATTCACCGAACTCGAACCCGCCGATTCACCGAAAAGTGTCATCCACTCGGGATTACCGCCGAAAGCATGAGCATTCGTTTTCAGCCAACGTATAGCCAATGCCTGATCCCACAACCCCACATTGCCGGGTGCCTCCTCCTCGTAGCCGGGCATAGCGGGCGACAGGTGCAGGAAACCAAAAGCGCCCACACGATATTGAAACGATGCCACAATGACATTACCCACAGCCGACATAATGTCCGCATTGTATATATCGAGTGTGGCAGTGCCGGTCATAAAGCCACCACCGTAAATCCAAATGAGCACGGGTAAGCCATTTGTGGTGTTCTGCGGATTTCCGTTGTGTATCAAATGATCAGTGTCGGCTTTATTGGAGTGCTGAAAATGAAATCGGGTATGAAAGGAAATATGAGAATAGTATGAATGAGTTGGCAATATTGCAATATGTGTGTGAAGTAAGTGCTACAGTTAATTAGCTTCCTTTTAATAAATTGAAAATTGTTGCCAACGACCACACTCACCTCACCACCATTGGCACCACGTCCGTGCCGCAAACGCGCTTTCGCTGGCGCCCAAACATTTATGTATAGGCAATCTTCGGAGACATTTGTATTAGGATTCCATATCTCTTCGCCGGAGAAACCGGGAAAATATTCATATCTGCAACGGTCAAATCAAAGAACAAACAATTAGTTGGCAATTAGCAGCGTGTGTAAGCAAAGCAAMGCAGCTTATCTTTATATTTAACGGTACAAGCAGTCGCCTTTCGCTCAGAGTAAATTAAAGGCTTTATTGCTGGAAAAGCAACCTCAATGTTATATCTGCTTACAATGACGGGTAAATGGGCTTTGGTCAAGCAGCATTAAGCCACAAAGGAGAGATAAAAATGATAAGTCCTTTGCTTATTGGTAAGTATATATACACTTATGTACCTGTATAAGTATGTATAGTTGACAACCGGCTTCTGGGTTGTAGGAATTAAGAGTAAGGGACGGAAATATTCACATTGATTACATTTATACATACATAACAAAATATTTTAACATAAAATGTATTATGAATTACAAGCATAAAAATTACTTGGAGAGTGGTGAATTGAACAAACAACTTGTATATTTAATTTATAATGATGTACTCAAATAGAAGTAGAACAGAAAGAGGTTATGCCACATACTCTTCTATATTAAAATAAAGTTATTAGGTTTTGTGGCGCAAACAAAATCATTTTTCAAAAGTAGAGCTTGAGCTCTGCTTAACAAAGTAAAATAACGATTCAAAGGCAGACGTAAACTCATACACAAGATTCTAACAAGACTGTCTAAGCACCCAAGACTGTGAGTTTCATATGTTCAGCACAAAAAACTTGAATGACTTGAAAACTTGAAGCCATGTGTGAAAGTAACTCCCATAAATTACTCTCTCTCTCTCTCTCTTTAATTACTCACTTAAAGATTTATGCTGGTTTAAGATTTTCAAAACATCTTCAAGGCACTAATTATGGTCTAAGGCAATCTTCAAGTGAATTACTGAGATCGGACGACTATAATACACAGCATCCATTGATACCGTTCAATCTAAAATAAGATAAGTTAGCTTTTTTCTTGTTTTGTAAACAATTTACAGCTTATTACACTCTTGCCACATGTTGCTGGGCGTGGCTTCGGCCTCTAATAAATTTAATATCATTTACATAGCATCCCGACAATGTGAAAATGGATGAAATCGCTAGATAGCCCCGCTCGCTCCCCATATAACGGTACTGCTAAAAACTAATAAAACTGCAATAAATCAATAACTAAATACGCCAGAGATATTAAATATTACCGCCGAGATGGTATGAGAGAGCTGTATTGGACCATATAACCAAAAATTGCTCATTTCCAACCAAACTGTTCAAGGCCCTAAGTACCGAATATTTGGACTCAAGTATATATTGTTGACTTTTGATTGAAAACATCATTATGAGATATATAATTGATATTCAGAAACAATCCTTTCCTTAAAATAGTAACTCTGTGTAGCAAAGATGGGCTGAATCAGGTCAATACTACACTGAGCCCCATATACCTAATATAAAGATTTTCGAAGTTTATGCATCATATATGACTTTATACTGCAGGTATTGGACTACATCTTAGTTATCTTACAGTGTCTAAAATTGATAAAATTGGCCCTAGCCCCCATATAACTAATAAAAGAATTTTTGAAGTTTCGAGCCACTTTACTGCATATGATTGGTTAGCGTATGTGAGGTACCTCAGGGACAATTTTTTAGTGTTTGCTATGATAATAGTTAAGGGATAAAATCGGGTCGATATTACCCCAATCTCAGTATAGTACATTTAATTATTTTCATTTTTGTAACAAACCTCAAAATATTTTCCTGACTTTGATTCCTCCGTAAAAAATATACATTTCACCTGCACTTAGCCCTTTCCTACTTGTTTTTTTTTTTCGGTTTAAATTTATCAGTTTTTTTTTACCAATCTGACAGTTTGAATAAAAATTGCGTAGATCTAGCAGCGTACCTACATTATAACAGAAATAAGTGGAAATCATCTAAGAAAAAATTATATCAAACACATTTGATATATCGATCAGATCAATTCGAAAAACATGTTCCGAAGTTTGTTGTTACTCATAAAATGAGTTCTAATTTATGGTTTTCGAAAGAATTATGTAAATTAAAAAATAGAAAATCTCGTGCTTTTAAACTTTTTAAGAAAACTGGTTTAGTTGCTGACTATTCAAAATATTCTAAATTGCGCCGACAATTTGCTGAACTTAACAATGTATGTTATAATAATTAAATAAAGTCAAAAATAATATTATACGTAATCCAAAATTGTTCTATGGTTTCGTCAACTCCAAACTCAGGATTTCTAATTTTCTGTCTGCTATGAAATATAAGTCTAGTATGTCCAGTGACAATCACACCATTTCTAATATGTTCGCTGAATTCTTTAGGTCCAATTACTCTCAAAAATCTCCAAAAAACGTTCCGAATCAGCACAAGCTATGTCCGATTCCTTTCATTAACGCACCTACCATTTCCGAAGCGGACGTTTTATATCAGTTAAATATATTAGAACAATGGTACAATTACGGCCCAGATATGATTCCCTCGTGCTTTCTTAAGAAATGTGCCATATATATATACCCTGTCTCTTATACACATCTAGATGTGTATAAGAGACAGGAGTGGATTTAGGTCATCTATTGCAAAGTATAGGGGAATAGCAAAGTTGTCTGCAATACCTAAACTTTTTGAAGCAATTATAGCAGGCGACATAACCTTAACTAATTTCTTGTTATCAGCACGGTTTTCGTATCACATGTATCAACGGGCTTTAGGGAGAATAAGAATACTGATGTTATATACACAGATTTTAGTAAAGCTTTTGGTAAAGTAAACCAATAAACTTGATCTTCTTTTTTTCACCCAATATTTCTAAAATGGGTTGCTTCTTATCTTAGTAATAGAATTCAACAAGTCAAATTTAACGATACTCTTCCCGACATAATCAATGTTCCTTCAGGTGTTCCTCAAGGTAGCCATCTTGGTCCAATTCTGTTCTTGTTATTTATTAATGACATATCATCTGTTGTTAAGTTTTCAAACGTTTTATTATAATGACGATGTAAAACTTTTTAAATCATTCACCTCAAATAGTGAAAGATGTCAGTTGGTGTGATAGAAATGACTTGCCATTGAATCTTAAAAAATGTAAAACGATGTGCTTTTCACGTAGATCTGTAGACCCTACTTCATACGTAATACAAAACTTTCGATTGGAGCAAGTATGCAGTTTTGTTGACTTGGGAGTAACTATGGACCCCAAACTCAATTTTAATCTTCACACATCTTCCATGGTTTCTAAAGCTCTAAGTTTTGTTAAACGTTGGTCTGAAGAATTTAGAGATCCGCTTACCACGAAAATTCTTTTTACATCTTTGGTGAGGCCTATATTAGAGTATGCTTCCGTGGTATGGAACCCTTGTTATCTAGTTCATTCTGAGAAAATAGAGTCCGTTCAAAAACAATTTTTGCCTTAAATCATTTGCATTGGGATTCCAGTTTAAATCTTCCCCCTTACACTAACCGTTTAAAACTTATAAATCTCCCTATACTCGCTGGTCGTAGGGAAATGCTTGGTATAATATTTCTTGAAAAACTCATCAATGGGTCAGTCTGTAGCCCATCTCTCTTGTCTGATATTAATTTTAACATTCCCGCTCGCTCTACCAGGCAGTTTAAACCTTTGCTTTTAAAATTTTCTAGAACAAATTTCGAGTTAAACGAACCATTCCGCCGTATATGTCACGATTTCAATTCTCATTCCAGCACATTTGATCTAAGAGATTCTCTCTTTACCATTAAAAAAGAAATATTTTATCTACTCTTAACAAGTAACATTTAAAAATTATAAACTTTAATCTAATTCTTAATTTTGGCTGTTGAAGTTTTTTGTTTCTTTAGCTGAGCAGCTTAAGATCGCAACGCTTAAAACTCTCTTGCCTTTTATGATTCGGCTAATTTCGCTCGTCGCGGATTGCGCCCCGCGCGTCGATTGGGCGGGAGGAGGGTAATCGTTGGGTATTATTATTATTAGAAATGTGAAGACTTATTTGAAATGATCTCCAAATGAAAGCTGGCCGAGGGTAACTAGTAATCTTCTGACATCGCGTTTGAAGCAAATTAGGTTCAACGGATGCAAGTTAAAAGTCACCTAGTAGTTACTTATAAGCAATATTCCTAATTTCAACAAATGACTGATCAGCTGAAATTCTAGATTTGCATCTATTAGATTATATATATATATGACCTGTTCGAAGAATATGAAAATTTCCAACTTTTTTTTTAGAATTTTTTTTTTTTCAAATCTAAAGTATCAGTTGCATTTTTGTGAATTATTTCTGCAGTCAAACCACCAAATTAAAGAATTTAAATCTTAAACATTTAAAAAAATTGGTCTCATTTATAAAAAAAAAATATAATTAAATAAAATATCTGGTAGCCAGTGCTGATTCTTACAAGTGGATTAATTTATTTAAAATATCTACATTCCTCAACGTGCAGATTTACACATGTGATTGAAATAACCTTAAAATAAAGGAATAATTTAGCCAGGTGCGGCCAACTTGAACTCATACTTTTTGCACATAGTACTCATTTGCATTTTAGTCGCCCATGTGTACTCTTACTCATATTGCTCAAGTGTTAGTTTTGTCTGCTGTAAAGTGTTGAATCGTGAACTCAATGTAAATATGAACTCCATTAACCATCAATCATGCCATGGAACGTAGACAGGATTTAATGAGAATTCAGGTATGTACATGCATATAGCTCCACTGCCAATGTTTTCTGGAAATCGAAACTTACATACGCAATTACATTTAATCGAGCAAATAATGATTAGCATAGGTACATAAATACACCTATACTAGTTATGTTGTATTTGTATTAGCTTTGGCATTTACTTTTGAATGCGATGTGTGTCGGTATGAGTGAGCAAATATGAGGAAGAGAATTTTCAATAACAATATCATTGAAAAGTTAATTACGAATTTGAACTATTGTATTTTGGCATGTGCATATATCCTTGCGGGCGTGTGAGTATACGCCCTGGTTGGAAAATGTGTATTTCCTTATTTTAGTTAACTAAATGCCTGATTTGGATTATTTGAGTTGAACCATGATGACAAATTGAATGAAATTCTCGGTAATAAATTACATGATCTAGTTATCGATGCATATCGAAATTATGACCGAACATGAAAAAGATCGAATAGCAATTACTCGTCTAAAGAACAACAAAGCTTCGGAGGCCGATGGATCATCGTCCGAGCTATTCAAATATGGTGACGAAGAACTGTTAAGCAGCACGCATCAGCTTCTTTGCAGAATCTGGAAACCCCACAATGTACGCCAACTACCCTGGGATAAGAGTTTTCAACATCACGTCTGGTTCTATCGAGCGTATCATGTGAAAGATTAAGGCATACCGTCAAAAACTGATTTGGACCTTATCAATGTGGCTTTAGGCCTGGAAAATCAACAACTGAAGTCTTTGACCCTTTACCCGTGAAAAGAGTTGGTTGAATTTGGAATCCCGCAAACCTAATACGGCTGCATAAATTCATGTTGTACCAATCGAGGTTTTAGACAAGGCTACTCCTTATCATGCGACTTCTTCAATCTACAGCTGGAGAAAATAGTTTGAGCTGCAGAGCTCAATAGAGCAGGTACAACCTTCTACAGGAAGTTCTACACTCCTGTGATCCGCCGATGACATCAATATCTTTGGCCATAACAACCGTTTTAAATTTAATGAATTGGAGTTTAAAATTAAAAACAAAAAAAAAACTGTTTTAAATTTAATAAATTAGAGTTTAAAATAAAAAAAGCATTTTTCATTGCATTGAAACACTAGGGTTTTGTATTCTTGCTTGACCATTATTATTTTTTCAATGCGATTTTGTTTAAAATTTCCGTTTTAATTTTTATTGCGATTTTTAAGATTAAAGGTTTATTTTGAATTTTTCTATCCTGTATTAAGAACTAGAAATTCGAAAATTAGTATATCCTGAATGGGGTACAGTATATATTAAGTTTGTTAGCATACAGAAGAATACATGGGAGACTCTATAACATATATTTGTTATATAAAAATGTTCGGAATGATGAACTGAGTCAATTTAGTTATATCCGTCCATTTGTATATGTACCTCAGTTTTTGAGATATCAATCTGAAATTTTACACACGTTCTCTTCTATTCGAGATCCTATATTCAATATCCATTTAGCAGCAGCGCTGATTTCGAACCATTACATACTAGTAATCAATGTGATCTATTGAATATGTGAAGAGTATTATTGTTTGTAATTATACTCTCGCAACAAAGTTGCTAAAGAGAGTATTATAGTTTTGTTCACATAACGGTTGTTTGTAAGTTCTAAAACTAAAAGAGTCAGATATAGGGTTATATAAACCCATCAGGGTGACGAGTAGAGTTGAAATCCGGATGTCTGTCTGTCCGTCCGTCCGTCTGTCCGTCTGTTCGTCCGTCCGTGCAAGCTGTAACTTGAGTAAAAATTGAGATATCATGATGAAAATTGGTACAAGTATTTCTTTACTCCATAAGAAGGTTAAATTCGAAGATGGGCAAAATCGGCCCACTGCCACGCCCACAAAATGGCGGAAACCGAAAACCAATAAAGTGTCATAAGTAAGGCATAAATAAAGATATTAAAAGGAAATTTGGCACAAAGGATCGCATTAGGCAGGGTCATATTTGGACGTACTTTTTTTGAAAAATTGGGCGTGGCCCCGCGCCCTAAAATTTTGTTTGTACATATCTCGAAAACTACTATAGCTATGCCAACCAAACTATATAGCGTCGTTTCTTTTAGGCATCTCCATATACAGTTCAAAAATGGAAGAAATCGGATGATAACTACGCCCACCTCCCATACAAAGGTTATGTTGAAAATCACTAAAAGTGCGTTAACCGACTAACAAAAAACGCCAGAAACACTAAATTCTACAGAAAAAATGGCAGAAGGAAGCTGCACGCAGGCTTTCTTTTTAAAATTGAAAATGTGCGTGGCGTCGGCCACTTATGGTCCAAAAACCATATCTCAGGAATTTCTCGACCGATTTCAATGAAATTCGGTGATGACATGTACGAAATTAGGGCGAAATCGGTTCACAACCACGCCTTCTTCCAATATAACGCTATTTTGAATTCCATCTGATGCCTCCTCTGTATAATATATACATTAGAAACCAATGATGATAGCGGAATAAAACTTTACACAAAAACGGTATTTAAGCTGAGGTATTCCTTGTGGAAAAATTGTCGTGATCGGASTATAACTTTTCAAGGTTCCTGATATCGAACACGAAGAACTCAGTGCCTAACCTAACCTAACCTAATTTTTCACCGGAAATATCGGTAAATCTCTCAGATATTTTCACGTAATTCAGAGGGCATCATTTTTATACTCCCGCAAAAAGTTGCTAATAGCGGTATATATCGTCAAATATACATATGGTTTCATATACCAAAGTGATCAGGGTGACGAGTAGAGTTGAAATCCAGATGTCTGTCTATCCGTCTGTGCAAGCTGTAACTTGGGTAAAAATTGAGATATTTTGGTGAAACTTGTCATGCGAAAGTATAAAATGTCCGGTGGCACCCGCAACTTAGCTCTTCCTTACTTGTTTTTCTAAATTTTTGTTTTTGAATGAACTTTTCTAAAAAATACACAAAAAAAAAATTAACACGATCAATTATATAAAATAATCGGTTTTTTTAAGTAAAATCGTCATTTTTGGAAGTTCACCATTTTTTTTTTCCTCAAAACAAAAACTTCAATTAATTTGACAACTATCTTTGCTAATCCCGGAGTGGGCCGATTTATTTTTATATTTTTTTTTTATTTATTTAAAAAAAATTGTCAAATTTTCAAAAATTAAAAAAAAAATTTCCGCAAACTTAATTTCTATCAAATAAAAAATATTATTTAACGATTTTATGATATAATATTCTCAATTTTTAGACTTAATTTACGAATATAATAACCAAGATTAAATTTTTACCTATTAGTAAGGCCGATAAACTAGTGTTCGACAATTATAGACTTACCTATAGTCCTTACTAGAAACTGTACTCTAGTGTGTATCGATTTGAATACGGTTTTTTCATACTGTCTAAAACATAACCCGTAAATTGCTGTTAATCTTTTGAGCGAAAAATTTTTTTCCATATTTTAAAATTTGACAATTTTTTTTAAATAAATAAAAAAAAATCGCCCTACTCCGGGATTAGCACGCTACACTTTGGATTAGACAACTATCCCTGTCAAATTAATTGAAGTTTGGTTTTTTTTTTTTTTTTTTGAGGCGAACTTTCAAAAAATGACGATTTTACTTAAACAAAACCCGAATTGATCGTGTTAATTTTTTTCGTGTATTTTTAGAAAAGTGCATTCAAAAACAAAAAATTAAAAAAAAAGGTCCCCAAAAGTAAATTTCTACCAAAGTTATGGCTATTTGAAAATAAAAAAGGCATTTTTTTTAATTCATCATTTTTTTTTGAAGTTGGACAAAAAATTTTGAAAAAATTCTCAAAAATGTTTTTCAAAGGGTAGATAAGTTTCAGCAAAATCTAAAGCGGTCGGGTCCAAAAGTGGTCGATTTTGTATGGAATACCCCATATATAATTCAGTTAAAGAAGATTCTGTAAGTTAGAAAATCTGTCTTTCAAAATTTGTAAGTATTAAAGGTGTGTAAAATGAGTATATGTGCCAGCAAATTATATAATGGAGTTTCTTCTAAATAAGATAACAATTAGTACCATAAATTTCCAATCGTATGAACTATTTTCTATTATCAGATTAATTTATAAGGTCATGTTTTCACTAATCCTTTTCTCTATATTTTACCAAATTTTTTCATTAATGAACAGATAACCAATTTTTAGAACCACATTTCCTTGCAACAAACCAAAATTAATTGGACCACTTTTTTCTGAGCATTGTTTAGATATGCTTAGTCAGGCAACACTGTCTTTGATTCGTCTCGTCTAGCCTGATTGTTTATGATTGTAAATGTTAAGACACTAATGCCTTTCAGAATAGGATTTTATCGAAAATGAAGTACTCTCCAATTGTTGGATTGCTGATCAATCTTTCTAAATGAATCTCCATTTTTCATATTTTGTTTTTGTGCGAGCTTGTCCAAAAGAAGACATGCTTTGGTATATTAGTTCTCCGTAATATTGAGCAGTACTAAATAATTTAAGTATAGAGTTTGAGTGATTGAACCGATGAAACTTAGGGAATTTTAGTTTTTCACTATAGAAAAAATAAAAAATCAATACCATCACCTCTAATTAATGAATTTCGCTATTCTGCTATTTTGCCCTACTTCAAATACTCTTATGTAAAGACAATGTCTACTTGGAAACCAAATTAATGGGGTCGATGCATGACGCATATTACGAAAATTAAGAAAAAATCTTCAAAACCGAAAGCTTACAGGAGGCACCACACAGAGGTGGCGCTTAAATAACAACAGGAAACCAAATATAAATTAATGGAGCAGCCATCAGTTTAGTCAACATAAAGGAGCCATGATAGCGCAAAAATTTGCATGTCCACCATTACACTGTTATGCTGAGGAGCTATGTGTGCACCGCACCTGGCGCTTGTCATTAATAACGCAAAAGACGACCATAAATTGCTGGTCATGTTTTGCCGCTACTACAACAATAACAAACGCTGCATTAACTTATATTATTATTTGAGAGTTTTCAGCAAGTGCCACCGCCAATGGCGCACCAATTTCCCCCACTTGCCACTGCCAGCAGACAATTATTTGCGCTTTTCATTTGCCAACTGTCATGACTGAGCGAAATATAGCGCTGCTAGTTAGACCCTTTTGCGAAATTGCGCGCTTACCTTTCTTGCACACAGGTTGCCGGCAGTCGCGTTGCATCCAAAACACCGTGCCAGGGCTCCGCTGGCACCGGTTTTCGAAATCGTAAATCATCTAATGGTGGCTTGGCATACGGTATGCCTGTGTACACGTGCACCTCTCGACCCTGCACGGTGACGGAGCGACCGCGCACCGGACCGCTCGATGTCTGCACCACCAAGCGATCGATGACGCCATACACGGAGGACATACGCAACAGCAGCACAACAATGGCGAATAGACCACGACCGATGTCGCCGCTCAGCCTGGGCGACGACGCGACACTGTATTGACGCGACGGCAGAGGCGACGCCGCGGCTGACGACGCGCCCGACAGCAAGGACGTTGGGTGAGCCATGCTAACTACAGCTGGTGGTGGTGATGGTGAGTACGGAAGCGGCTAATATAACGAACGAACGACGTGCGCAAAATGTAACGGTAGAATGCGACGTGCACGTGCACGTACACCTTATTAACACTGCTCGATTGGTGCTGGCTATGCGCGCGCGTTATACTCGATGTGCACACAGCTGATTGACGACGACTGTGACTTTCTGGCTGGCTCAATTGGCTCGGCTCAAACCGCCTGACCGGGCTTATTGTTTGTGTTGGTTTAAAGAGGCGCGCACGCACACATTAACAGCCGCGCGGGCATAGAAACGAATGTAAGAATGTGTGTGTATGGAAGTACAGCAATTGCTGGCTATCGCACGCGCACACACATACACGCTCGTATCTCGTACGAATGACAAACCGAAACGACGTCGCACGTTTGTATTACGACCGAACGCTCAACTGTACGACCGACGATGGCGCGAAAGTAGGCCGACGCTTAACCCTGCGGTGTTTGCACAACTTTCGCCAGCAAATTGAATGACGTCACTACACAACACTGCAGTTCAGCCCTAACAGGTCAAGCGCTCACACACGATTGCCTCGCGATATATATGCGCTCTGGCTACACCGCGCTCAGTACCCACTCACCGCCGCTGCTCGGCAATTCCCACTTCAGTGCGTCACAAATCGCAACAATTGAGCGTGTGTCAAGCGATTTATTCGGGGTTGTGAAGCGCGTGTTCGCGCCACTGGGTTGCCCTTCAGAACTCGCTCGCTCCCGCTGCAGCAGCTGATACGGCTGCAATGGGGAAAATGCTTGTTGATTTAGCGGACGCGCTGATTGCGCTTTCCCTCTGGCTTTTGCGCGTTTGAACTCTTGACTTCAGCTTTGCGCTTTTACCGCTACTAACTGCCAGCACTTTTCTCTCTTGCTTGCGTTTACACACCTGTCGTTATTTACCGTTATTTTTGTAATACACGCTCTGATTTTTCAATTTGCGCACGTGTTTAGGGTTGGCAGTGTTTGCTTAGCTTAGCTCAGGTCACGCACGCTACTGCCGTACGAGCTGTTGCTGCAACTGTTGCAACTGTCAAGTGTGCTGAGGGTCAACCAAACAGCTGGTGGCAAAATCAAAAAATGTGCGCGTTTTAAGTCTGCAAGCGCTCAACGCGCTGCGGCAATCGCCTGCTGGTCTGACTCACGTAATTCGCTAAGCTCGGTTGTCATGCAGCACAACCCTTCAATGTTGCCAAATGCTGTTGCAATGTTGTTTCAGCCGCATACAAAGGCAAGCCACTAAGCTTATTTCGCACAAGCTGTGCTTAGTGCTGACGCGTTTGTCTTCCTTGCTGCAGTTTGCTCAGCTAATCCGCCTTTGTCCCAGTTTTTTTGAAGAAATTACGCGCGCGCGCTTGTGTTTGTTTCTGTTTTTCGTTTTCTTTTGTTTACTTGTTTATTGCTGTTGCAACTGCGCGCTCACTCGCCATTATCATTTCACATACACTGCCTCACTGCCCGCGGCGTACTCCACTGCCAACAAACTTTGTAACTCGTTTTTGTTGCGACACAAGCACCCAGCAATTGCCACCGTTGTGTGTTTCACTAGTTCAGCTGTTGTTCAACTTGCGCTCGGCACTCGGCAATCTGCAATTGAAACAAAAGCAAAGAAAGGAAATAAGTTAACATGCAATTTCAGCGCACTCGGCGACACACAAAACGGACATAGCAAATGGATATGTACAATTCGAAACTAGAAAGTGGCATACACAAAAGAAAGAACGGCAAGTGCTCTTCTCAACACACAGTCACACACACAGTCATACACAAACACACACAGGAAAAAGCACTCGCAAGTTTTCTTCGCATTCATGCTGCGTCTCAATTTGCTGCACTGTCAGTAGCATACCAACAGGCGCACGTTGTGACCACGCGCATATACCAAGCACTTTCTATACACAATTTTTCTTATAATAAACTATTAAATGTGCATAGCGTATGCTTGCAACTGTCCACAATCACACAGTGCAAGCTCCCTCCACCTCGCTCTCTATCTCTTTCTCTTTGGTTGTAACCAGCCACACCCATGCACTTAAAATGTTGCTTGTTGCCCATTACTTGCTGCCATGTGTGCTTACTTAAGTGCTTAAGCATATTTGTCCGTTGTCTGTTGATGTTTAGATCTTCTTTTCGCATTCCTTGCCTCCACTCCGCTGCTCTAGCTCTAGTCTTCTTCAACTAATGCGGAGAAAATGTTGATTTTGTATTTATGTAGGTGAATAGAAAAATAAATGAAAATAAAATAATTGCGATATGAGCGCAAGCAAAAATTAACAACAAAAACAAGAGGCACAAGTACAATCAAACAACTTGCGCGCCATGTAAATGGAAATGAAAATGGCATTTTGTGGTGTTGCACAAACGAGTGCAACGAGTTTATACGAAAAGTACATAATTTCTTAAGTAGCCTAAGTACTCGCAAGTTGTAAAGTTTGGCATTCAGTCTTAAGCGTTTAAATGCAAGCTGGTTCGTTTGAAAGTTTGCCTTTAACAACATGAGCTGTATGAGATTTTAGTTTCGAACATTCGTTGCTTTTGTTTTAAGTGAACAAAAGTTTTGTAAAAAACAATGGAAGATTTCTTTGGTTGAATGCACAAAACGATATAAAGCCTCTTAGTTTATTGGCATCCGTTTTTTTTTTTTTTTTTTTTTTTAATACTTTAATAAATTAAGCAAGGTAAATAATGCAACGAGGCATACAGGTGACTCTTATTCCATACTAAAATTTAAAAAAATAAAAATGTTTTCATAATATAATTTATTAACACGAAGCAGATTTAGTTCAAAACGTCTACTTTTATTGTTTAAATATACTGAAAGTGTATATATTTTTTATTTCATGAATGTATGATGGTAACTCTGAATCCTATCTTGAGTTAGGTTAGGTTAGTCTAAACTTATAAGCTATGTATAGAGCAGTTTTGGGTCCTTTGCGATACTAGTTAGAGTTTCGTCCATGGGGAGTAGTCATCCTTTAGGATGCCAGTGCTTGACGAGAGTTCTAACAGATTCTGTGGTCTTGCTATCAATATCAGTGTATCATACTGTGTGATCCCGAAAAGCATAGTCTTTCCCATGCGGATCAAGTCACAAAAGATGCTCCATTGTATCCCCGGTGCTTTGCTCTAGGCACTTCCTGCAGTCTTCGCGATCAGTCAGCTCCGTTGTGCGGCCGTGTGTCGCCTTCAGACAGTGCCCTGTTAGTTTTGTGATCATGTTCCTACAGACTCTTCTGTCGAGTGCCAATAAGAATTTTATGTGCTGTGCCTTGGACAATCTTCTAGAAGGGGCTATGGCCCTAATGTGCATGTCCAAGATTTTCTCTAACATTTTAAGCATGAAAGAAGTTAACTTTAAGGGCATAAAATATATTCTTTTTGTTTCTATTTGATTTCAGTATGATAACTACCACTTCTCTTTCTTGTTTCTTCATTATTCAAATGTACGTAACATATCCAAGAACTTCCATCATTGATTGGCAAAACACAATACATCGTCATTTTCAAAACATGAAAGAAGGGTTTTAGGTACCGAATTAAGAGGACAAGAACATGCATTAAATACTCAAACACATTTTTAGTTTAATTGTTGCAGCGACTATATTTTGAATCAATATAATATTATTAAGAAACGCTATTAAAAAATAAATTTGATAAAACCCACAAAACTAGTATATAATAGGGATTATAAAACCGAACAGAATTCCATCTTATGTTATATGAAATTTTATCTTTAAATGAAAATATTCGAATATCTGGCATCAGCTTTACAACTTTTAGATGCAACTAGTATAAAGTAAATAACCAACTTATCATTTACTGACCCTTCAAAAAGTATACACACTGCATGCCGGCAGTAGAGAAAAAGCAACTAAATGAATACTAAGTTCGGCAGCATCAACCCGCTGTGTCCTCCATTTAATTACGTTTAAAGTGTATGATTTACTTTCTCAAAGTGGACAATTTTCCAAAGCAATTGCATTACTTGTTCAATTTAACCGACTCGTTAACTACAAATCCACAGAGTTTTTGCCAAATTAATTGAAGTAAATGGATGGTCGAAATTGTGTCAGAGAGCCATAGGAATGCAACTGTAAAATGCGACTACTAAATGTGTGCAAGGCAACAGCAGCAAAGTAGTGAAGGGCGGCGAGGATTGCAGCGCATGGTAAGGAGAAGGCTTATAGCTGAGTTGAGCAAATGGAAAAGTAAGTATCTGGCACATGACATATGCGGCAAATTGTATTATGCAATTTAACCCGGCATAACCAGAGACGTTTGCGGAATTTCACAAACCATTGCAGTTGCATGCACTGTATGTCATTGTATTTGTCACGTCACATATTGTCGAAATAGCTGTGATGGCCCTCTAGGAAAAATGACGAACGCTTAATACCTATATGTACGACATGTTACATAAAATCTATAGCAACGATGAAAATTTAAACGAAATCGCTTTGACAGTTTCAGACTTACTCTGAATCGATTGAGAGTGGTTCGAAAGCACATTTTCCATATTTTGTATATGGCATAGAGGACTCATCGACTGATTGACTGATGAACTGATATGTACATAAGGAACCGCGTTCCTAGGTACTATCTATCAGGAGCGAAACATGCTTATTGTAAAGGCATGTTGGTGGATACTGTCCTGCATACTATCGTTATTCGCTTTTGGGACCTTCATTGATACTAAGACGGTTTACAATAACGTCCTGCTCTGAACGGTCTTGGGGTTGGATCAAACCTCAAACACCACATACTTAGTCTTCTGTGAGACAGAATGATTGAAACGGAATGAGGCAGCGCACGAGCATGACGTAATATGAGTAGGAGAATCCCACAAGGTGGGGTACAGGGCAGTTGGGCAGTCAGAAGTGGTCTCTCGTCCAAATAAAATCGAGATTATTTTATTTACTATACCCGGTCGTGAACCGTCTGCAACCGGCGGAAACAGTGAAAAAGCTAGAGCTCATTCTGTATAGAAAGCTTACATAGAAGCCAATAATCGAAGAGGGAGCAAAAACCCGTCTTATACTTCTGCAGAGACGTCATTGGCAGAGGTAAAACCTGTCACCGAAAGTTCGGAAAAAATTTCCATTTCGAATTTTTCATTCCATTTTCCATTCTTCGATTCCGACTGGGTATTTACACACTCGTAAATATTCGCACCAGTAACAGTATGTTTGTGTGTGTGTGTGTTGTGGCGAAGAAATGCCTGTCCATTTGCGCCATGTCGCACGTGAGGCATGTCATGTCCAATGTGCAATGTGTGGCATGCCGGACTTTGGCAACGATTTTCAGTTGACAGCACTCAAGACTTCAGACTTGTTGTACGCGCCAACTGGGGTCTCGAGCATTCGTGTGTAGACATATGTGTGTGCCGCCGCAACTGCAGGTGTACGTGAGTGCTGGGCCATTTTGTGGCAATGCGGGCAGTAACGACATGACATGTCAAAAAGCCACCAACAATGCTTACGAGAACCTGCAAATATGCCGACACTCACACATATGCTCGCCTTAAGCGAATGCCGTCGCATTTTTCGACCTTTTCACCACTCGCTTGCAAAATTTTATTTGCATTTGCTTTCTTTAATGTACGAAAATGCTTTTAAGTGGTTTTAAAAATCGTAAAATGCTTTTTGATTTTTTTTTTTCCGCTTATATTTTCCAAAATCACTGCTGCATCGTAGCACATCAGTGTACGAGTATTTGTTGTATTTTTATTTTGCTCACTTTCCGGTGCGGCTTGTGCGCTGCTGAGTTCCTTTAATTATAGTGTGTGTTGGGGAAAAGCACTTAAATCAAGGTTTTATATTTTCCGCTATTTACTCTTTTTAATGCGCTCTCCTAGTCACTTTACACACAATCGTGCTTGTTTGTGTAGTTGTAAGTCACCGAATAACTGCACATACTGAGTGCAAATTCTTTGCTATGCCACCTGCCAAACGCACTCACACACTCGCAGCGTTCTGTCAACTAATGGGTTTCCTACATGCAAAACGATTGTCGAATTTTGTTGTGCACAACTTGCCAAAAAACAACAACATACGAGAATACTAAAAAAAAAAAACAAAAACAAATAACACCATTAGGGGCAGGAAAGTAAAAATTTCTTTTATTGAGTTCCCAAAAGACCTTGTCCGCGTGGCGGTCTTTAGCGGTAAAAACGACACGCAAAGAAGTCGGCAAATATTTGCCGACAATTTATTTGATTACAGCAATTAAGTTTTAATTGTTATTTCTTTGCGGAGTTGAGTTTTAACTTTTTATATAGAAATGAATATCCTAAAAAAAAACTGGATAAAATTAGTTGAAGGTTTACTCATAGATTACACATGATCAAAGTTTCAGCTTTTGATCAAAAACGACAAATTTTTATACTGCCGAAACGAAAGCTTAAGGTAGGTTTTTATTCATTTTCTAAATAGCTGTTGAGTGGTAAATATTAAAAAATATGACTCATTTCGAGAAAGCGGAATTATTCGGATACACTGTAGACTTCACATATCCCCACAGAAAAAAGTCAAACGGTGTGATATCACACGATCTTGGTGGCAATTCGACCGCAAAAAACGTGAAATTAT